GGAGGTGGTGGTATTGATAAACCAGCTTGTTGTCCAAGCATAGATGCTAGTGCTGATTGAAATGCGGCTGCAGATGATGCTCCAGCATTTGTATTCATTCCATTTTCAATAGCTGCAAAAAGTTGATCATATGGTGATGTTAATGATGATGGATCGAGATCAAGCGAAGAAAGACCAGCTAATCCTCGATCAGTAACATATTTTGGTGGTCGTCCACGACGTCTTGGAGCAAAATTTCCACGTTCAAATGGTGAAGGACTTGTTGATGAATGAGATGTAGATGGAATTATAGTTGTATTTGAATTTATTCCTGATGATTGAATTTCTGGTTTCGATGGACGATTTGTTCGTTTAGGTATTGCATCAGTTTGTGTTAAACCAAGTAATTGTTGTTTTAATAAAGATGAATTAACTACTGCAAGATTATCTGTTTCATTTGATGTTGATGACATCATTAATTGTTGTGTCATTTCCCATAAAAGTTGTTGTTGTTGTTGCATTGATAAAGATGTTGATGTTTCAGATGTTTTTTGTCGTTTATTTGTCGGTGAAGAAGAAAATGATGATGATTGTGAAGGAGATAATTTATGTTTAACTAATGATTGTTGAGAATTCATAGGTATTGTTTTAGTTAAATCATTAAATATTTTTGAACGATCAGATAATTTCGATGATGATGATGATGGTATAGATGGTTGAGATTTACTGCTAAAAAAAAACAAATACGTCATTCAATAATCATTATTAAAGAAAAAAATTTTGTGTTACAAACGCAAAAAAAGTCTATAACAGAGTCTTTAAGTACATAAACAAAAGCATTTCTACCGATTCTTTTTTTTTTGTTTCAAAGTGTACTTAAAACACATATTTCGAGTAATTTTTTGTTAACCTACAAATCGGTCATGTATTGACAGTTTTAGTAGTATTTGAATCTAAATTATGGTGTTTAACATTGTCATACGAATAATTGTTCTACAGATATTTCTAGCCTATAGAAATTGATACGATGTAGATGAACTATCAAAATTTCAATTTAAACAACCATTTATGTATCCATCAAGTCACATATTCGTGAAATAGCCTAAAATTCAGATTGAATAATGGAACAACAAGTATTTGCTAATACCTCTAAGTCTCTATTCGGAAACGATCGGACAGCTCATTTGACAATGTTATATTGAACTACTGAGGAAACGTTCGCAAGTCCCCAGTCGAGTCCCCCGAGTAAGAAAATTTTTCGATAACTGAATGAAGGCCGAGGAAGAAAATCTTGGACTCTTGAGGCCACAGTGGGTGTGTAAAAGCCTAGAGGGGTTCTGTTGTCTATACCTTTCGTTTTTAAGATATTAACTCATTGTGAAAGTTCCAGCTATACATTCTAAAAAAACGCAATCATTCTTCTTATGCTAATATCTCCAGATACCAAATATTTACATTAGTAAATTTTTCACAATAAGCTAGTGTTATTGAAAGCTTTGTTGCTGCAAAGGTTTCAATTCGAAACTCAATATCTTAAAAACAACGTCTCAGACAACCGAAGTATAGCTTGTATCTAAGTGGAACTTTATCAAGAATTCTCTTCTATACGAAATGCTTTGTCAATTTTTTTTTTGGAAAATTTCTACTCGGAAACAAAAATACTATGTTCTCAGTTAATGATTTATTTACCTAAGACCATTTGAATTATGTTTTCCATTAGTTATTTTTTTTATTCCATTCATTTGTTGTTTATGATTTATATGTCCATTAGTTTTATTTATTATTTTTTTTCGTTGTTCTTTAATATCTTTAACAATAGTTGTTACTATATCAGCTAAAATATCATCAACTATTTCTAAAATATCTTCATTTTCTTCATGATTATTATTATTATTATTATCAATAACAAAATGTTTTGATAATAAATTTAATTGAAGATAATTTTGTTCAATTTGATTTTGATGATAAATATCTTCAATATCATTTTCATCTTCTTGATCTGATGTTAATATAGGTTGTTCATGATGATGAACACTTGTTGATGATGTTTTTATTAATGATAAGGGTAAAAGTCTTTGTGTTGGTGGTTTAATTATTTCAGGTGATAATTGTAAACGACGTGGAACACCTTTACGACGACCACCACGTTCATTTTGTAATGGTTGTTCTTGTCGTTGTTGTTCTTGTTGTATTATTATATCTAAAGGATGTTCATTTTCTTCTTCATCACTTTCATTATCATTGGAATAATGCTTCCCATTTGAAATAGAAAATAAAGATAACTCATCCATATAAACAACAACAACAAAAAACAAAGAATCTAAAAGATAAAATACAAAAAAAAAAAAAAAAAGAAAGAGGAAATTTTATTGTCGGTACTAACCGACCGATCGATAAATGTATGTGAAAAGATAGCAAAAATATTTTTTGTTACTTTTTTTTTGTCCGTCCGACCTGCCGCGTCAGTCAATCACACATTCATTTATTTATTTCTTCTTCTTCTTCTTCTTCTTTTCTCTCTGTATTTCGAAACAATGGACTCAAATTCCATCTATCAAAAATAGAGATTTAGTGACATCTAGTTTTGAAAAAATATAAAAATATTTAATTTTAATTGAAATAAAATTTTATTTCAGAAAATAAAAAAATTTTTGCATTTCAGAATTTATTAGTATTTATATTCGAGCATTTTTCATTTATTGTAACCAAGGCTACAATAATTTTCAATGGCACAGATACATTTGAAGATTTGAGTTTTTTTGTTTTCTATACCTATGGATCAAACATTACGTCCATTGAATATTCCACCAGAATTTCTGCTGTATGCAGAAAAAAATGCTCTATTTGAATTATTTCAGGTAACATCAAAATTATTATATAGATATTCTAATGAGTAAATGATCATCAGTAGAAAGAATATTTTGTATAGTTCAATGAAATGTATTAATCATAGATATTCTATTTGAAATTATAGAGATATGATAAACTATTTCAATCTGTTGAATGATTTAGGAGCAAAGAAAAAATACACATTATAACATTTTTCTTCTTTTTGAGTGATGTATTTTGCGTTAAATAGATAGCGAGAAGTACGAAACTAACATTATACAGTTTCTCAGTCATAATGACCTTGTATCATATGTAAATTCTTGTTAGTATGGAAAAAAATATACTCTAAATTCTTAAAGTATTCATTAGATATGAGAAAACTATGCTTATAAAAGAGTTGGTCTTAGATATATTCTTAGGATCATCTTGACAAAATGCACGTTTTATCTCAAATTATCTAGTATTAGAGTTTTTAAAGAAGACAGCTGAAATAAAAAAGCTTATAACTTTTGAACGAAAAGTCCTCCCTACATAGAGTAGTGTCCGACACTGTCCTCTATTGAATAGTGAAAACTGCAGATCGTTACGATTTTTTGTTCAACTCCCTTTAAAAACTCGATGCTAGTATGAGTATTTTATCGGGGTATACTTTGATAATCTAGTAAGTAAAGTTTCTCAATATTATATATGATCTTCTAAAGAAAGAAATTCGCAAGAAGAAAACTTGGCTAAGTTAGAGGGCAAATAATTTCATTGATATTCTATAATTATATACATTTTTATCAACGTATTTTAAGCTTTTGTGTTTTTTTTTGTTAGGTTGATAAATATAAGGCGGAGGAAAAAATAGTTTAATAATAATGTATTTTTCTATAATATTAAGCACCTAGCTCAAATCTAGATAGCGATTTTAATATCCAATGAAGTTTTCAGATTTCGGAAGACTTTTTTTAACAATACCATTTTAAAAAGCATAAAATGAGAGATCGCCGTATTTTCCACGACTTTCTTTTAAGAACTTAAAAGCATCATAAAATTGAAAAAAAGGGTGATTTTTTGATAAATTTTGTTTTTTTTTTACAGTTTCTGTGATAATTTTAATTTTTTAAGAAAATGTCGTAGAAGATGCGGCGATTCATCATTTTGACCTCCTTAAAATGACATTGTTAAAAAAAGTCTTCTGGAATCTGAAAACTATTGTGTTTAATTTTTTAGAGTTGCTTTATGAAATCTTGCTATAGAATGCACTAGATAGAAAACTGTATTGACTTTAAAAATTATTATCTGGATTTGAACTAGGCGCTTGATATTATAGATAAATATGTTGTTGTTAAACATTTTGCTACTGTCTTAGTTTCAAAATTATTAATAATTTTCTTCGATTGTTTTGTTTTTCAGCGATGTATCTCATCATTACTCATTGATCGACCTAGTGATCCAATAACATATCTTATTGATTTACTCAAAAAAGATTCTGATGGTTAGAGAAATTGATTTTTTGTTTTCTTTAATTTATTATTTTCTTTTTTTTTTATAGCACCGAAAATTATTATTCTCGGTCCGCCAGCATCTGGTCGTCATACAATAGCTAAAATGTTACAGAAAAAATTAAATGCTGTTTTAATTGAACCAGAAGAACTTTTACGAGATGTACCAAGTAAATTAAGAGATAAATTACCAGTTAATGCAACTGTTGTATGTATTCGAATAAAGTTTTTTTTTTTTTTTGATAAAGAAATATTTTAATTTGAATAAATAGAATAATATTTCATCATCATTATGGACTCAAATATATGAAGAACGTTTAAAAGATTTTGATTGTAGTCGTCGTGGTTGGATTTTAGTTGATTTTCCAATGAATCGTGAACAAACATTAGCATTACAAGCGAAAGGCATATGTCCAAGACATGTAGGTTAGTTAAAAACTAAAGAATTATCAATATTCAACAAGACTTTTCTAATTATTATTTAATTTAATCTTAATTTTCATTCTAGTATGTTTGGAAGCACCTGATACTGTTATGATTGAACGTGCAGCTGGAAAAAGAATTGATTCAAAAACAAAAGGTTGTTTTATTCCTTTATTTGCTTTTGTTTGAATTCTTTTCATAATATTCAATTTTTCTAGATATTTATCATATAACATGGAATATTCCAAATTCACGTGATGTTCAAGAACGTTTAATACAATTAGAAGAAAATTCTGAAAAAATAATGGTTTTACGTTTAAAAGAATATCGAAGGTAGAAAAATTTTTATGAAACTTCCATTATATTTTTTTTGAAGAAAATATGCGAGATTTTGCAACTTCTCTCATAGGGATGCATTGATTTGCTACAGTCATCATATGATCAACATAATAAGTGTGAATTGCTGAAGCTATAAAATTAACATCAGTGTTTCTATGTTTATCGAGATATATAAAACCTACTATATATAGATACAACAGGCTTGTCTTCCATTTAAGTACTTATCCTCTCAGAAATCTCAATTTTTGTCCAAACAAATAATTTTTGAGGTATATATATATATGAACATGTTGCCTAGTGTACGAATTTTGATTCTCAAACGTTTTGAAGATTTTATGAATAATCTTTAAAACTATCTGGGCAAATAATGATGTCTAGAGCAATCAGTAAAATATTTTTTTTTTTGTACAGTTAGATCTACAATGGTATGAGGGTATGGATCTTCTCTTCACTCATACTCGTACCATATGATGTTTAATCAGACTAGATATCATTAGATTAGATAGATGGATTTATCTCATATATAACAACACGTATATATAAAGTGGCGGAAAAAAGTTTGGAAACAACGATTTTTTTCATAATGTTAAGCACCTAGCTCCAATCCAAATAGTGATTTTAATAGCCAATGGAGTTTTCTATTCAACACACTTTATAGCAAGATTTTACAGATGAACAATGATGGCAAGGTTCCTATAAAATAGAATACGGTATTTTTCAGGTTCTAGAGGACTTTGTCAGAGCTGTTTTTGAACGGTGCCATCTTAAAGAGCACAAAATTCTGAGCAAAATGAGGGGTCGCCGAGTTTTCTACGAACTTCTCGTAAAAAGTTACCAGCATCACAAAAATCATGAAAAAGACGTTTTTAGTCGATTTTTAAAAAAATTTCATTTTTTCATGACTTTTGTTATGCTTGTAACTTTTTATGAGAAGGTCGTAGAAAACTCGACGACCCCTCATTTTGCTCAGAATTTTGTGCTCTTTAAGATAGCACTGTTCAAAAATAGCTCTGGCAAAGTCTTCTAGAACCTGGAAAATATCGTGTTCGGTTTTTTAGGAGCCTTGCCATCATTGTTCATCTGTAAAATCTTGCTATAAAGTGTATTGAATAGAAAACTCCATTGGCTATTAAGATCACTATTTGGATTGGAGCTAGGTGCTTAACATTATGAAAAAAACCAAAAAAATCATTATTTCTAAACTTTTATCCATCACTTTATATATCAGATGTTAGAAGAAACTGGAAAAATACCTGGTAGAAGGAAACAGAGCGAATATATATATGGATATTACCTATAACATATTTGTGCTATCATAACAATGGAGTCGTGAAATGTTTTTTTAATATAATGTATTTCTATGAATCAAGCATCTCTATACAAAGTTTCATGGACATCTCATGTATCATGTCAAAGTTAGATTTTTGAGGAAGATCCTTAGTGAATAACAACAAGGCAAAACAAACAATAGAGTGTCAATAAAAAAAGGAAAAAATTTCTTTGTGATTGACAACGTTTGAAAAAAAAAACCTATATTTTTTACTTTTGCGTATTTTGTATTAGTACAATGAGGCTAAAGAATATATTTGAGTTCTAAAGAGGCTGTGCTGACGAACTTGTTTTAAAAATATGTTTGTCTTTTAGAAATATTGGTGGTATTAAAGATTGTTTTAAATCAATATTACGTTCAGTTAATGCTGATCAACCATTAAATGATGTTTATTTACAAGTATATACATATACAAGTAAAAAACCACGTTCGATTGCACCACGTACACCACGTATTGTTATTCTTGGTCCAACTGGTAGTGGACGAAAAACAGTAGCAATGCAGGTTTCACGAAAATATGACATACCTATTGGTAAGAATTGTAAATTTTTAAGGATTTAATTTGAAATAAAACAAACTCAAAAATTGATACAATAATGAAGAGATCAAATTTTTTGATTCGACTTGAACTCAAGATGATATCTATTTTGAATATTTTATTCTTCTAGTATCAATTCCAACACTTATTAAACAACAAATTGTTAATAAAACACCAGCTGGTGTTAGCATGAAATCTTATGTTACTCGAGAAGCATTAGGTAAAAGTTCATATTTATTCTTATGTCAACAAAAAACACGTGTTTTTGTTTTTAAATATTTTTTTTTGTTGAATTTATAGTTCCGGATAGTTTATTAATGCCAATTATTAAAGATCGTTTAAATCAAAAAGATTGTATAGCTAAAGGTTGGATAATGATTGGTTTTCCTCGTACACGTGAACAAGGAGAAAGTTTAGCTCGAATACCTGGTTTAGCACCCAGTCGGTAAGATAAATTCATATAAATAATAAATTATTTTGTTAAAAATAATAATAAAGAAAAAAACCTATCCTTTGAAGAGTTTTCTTTTTGGATATTCCTCTTGATATTGCTGTGGAACGTTTAACTCAACGAAGATTAGATCCAATAACAGGTGATCGTTTTCATACTCATGAACATCCACCACCAACACATAATATAAAAGAACGTTCACGTCAACATCCAACTGATGATAAAGAAGTTGTACAAAAACGTTATCAAGCATATACAATTTATTATGATGAATTACAAGATTATTATTCTGAACAAGATGGTATTCATATTGCAGCTGATCAAGATACTTATACTGTATTTGAAGCTGTCGAAGCAGGAATCGTTAATCCATTAAATAAAAATGGATTTTAGATTTTCACAATAACAAAAAAAACTTGAAATGTTTTATTATGATATTAAAAAAAAAACCTAAAAACTAAATTATGTTAATCTTATTAATAAAAAATAATTTTGTTTGAATATTCAAAGGATCTTATCGGATTTGGTGACCTATTTTGAACTAGGATACTATATATGTAGAATAAATTACGACGCATCGAATAATATTTAAGAAATCAAGTTTTCATCTCCAATTTTGATTTATTCAAGGTTCATATACTTGTTGTAATCCTATAGAAATATATAAAATATTCATCGACATTGTGTTTCCCAAAATGTTCTAAGATAAACTTATGCAAATTTTGTCTTTTAAGTCAATACGATACGAAGCATTATATAGTAATCGTTCTCGATTTTGTTTTATTTCCTAGACACTTCACTCGAATCGTTATTTTGTGATGTGTTGATCTAAAAATCGGAGAGTCGTGCGATTTTCGTTCAAACATTGTTACAAAGTTCCGTTGTTTTTTTCGAGATAATGAAAACGAATTTTCGATGTTGTCGTTATATCGATGATCGATAATGGCAATTTAAAATGTGTTCATTTGTCTTGTATTTTAAACGAAACTTAAATCGATCGCACTATATATAAACATAATTGATTTTATTTACTTTCTTTTTGCTAAAAGTTGTTAAGGATTGTTCAAGGGCTCAGTGTCAACTAACGAAGGCATCACCCAAGGTGATATCCCGCTTTTGAGATGAGACTCCAGTAATTACGTAGGACTTGTTGAGACTAAAAAACTTAGAAAGATTCTTCTCCATGAATTGTCTTCCTTAGAAGTTATGGTCGTTACATTGGATTTTTTACCTTTGGTGCAGTATTTATTAAAAAAAAACCGAACAAATGAATTTTCATCTAAAACTTTCTCCATAGACAGTTCTTTAAGTCATTAGAGTCAAGTATAACGACCATAACTCTAAAATGGCAGCGCATGGGGAAGTATCCTTCTAGTCTCAATAGGCCCTATGTAATGATTGAGATTTTATATCAAACGCGAGGTATCATTTCGGGTAGTTCCCTCGTAAGTATGTCTGTTTTCCATTGGCTCGATGGCAA